ATATCTCATGTTTTATAGGTTTTTAGTATCCCATTTTGATTCATTTTGATCAATTAAATTGCATATTAGGTGTGTATATTGCATTAGAGTGCTCATTTGCATATAACAGGGTTTAAATTGCACAATTAGAAGTTTATGGCAAAAATCAAGGGTCAAGCTACACGTTTCAAGACTGTAGGGGTAGAAAGAAAGAAGATGAAAATTCAGAGACTAATGTTGCAATTTCGGAATGCTTGCTTGGGCTAAATTGTAAGATCAGAAAGATTTGGGTTTGATTCGGGGTCTTCTCTGCAAATTATAAATGTTGGGGGCAGAAATGGAAAAGTACAGGAGCTGGAGGACCTAATGTGAAAATAGTCTAAAAGCCACCGTTTCTGATCTTTGATGGAGCTCCTCTTGGTTCCGTGACGGCAGGATTCGATTCCGACGGCGCGAAGCTCGAGCTTCTTCCGACGAGAAGACGATGGCCAAGACAGCGAGGGAGATGGTGATGACGGAGGTTTCTATTGATGATTGGAGCACCGGCGAGTTAAGACACGGCGAGTGGACGCAACGGACTTGAACGCGAGCTTGAACCGGTACGCGAGGAAGATGGATTGATGGTGGTCAGAGCATGAGCCCAGCTTTGGAGATGAGCCGGTGACGATGGTGAGTGAAGCTTGAGACTAAGAAGACGAAGTCACGAGCAATCTCAGCGGCTTGACATAGCGGTGTTGCTTGGCTGCTAGCTTCGCATCTCCACCTCCCTGTTTGATATCGATATGATGCGGCGGTCTAATGACACCGCTCGAGAAAGACATAGGCTTACAGCGGCCAAGTGGAGCAGCCAAAGGAGACCGCTGCGAAGAAGACAACACGTGATTTCGAGATGTTGACCGGTTAAACCGGTTTTATCCGGTTTAAATTTATTAAACCAGCACGAGTTTAGATTCTCTATATATAGTTTTAGCTTCCAAAAACTTTAATGTATCTCATTTTCTCTCAAGAACTTGCCTCCTATTGTAAAAGTTTAGATCTTTCATCATTTTAAGGAAGTACTTAATATTATATCTTGTTTCTCATTCTCATTAACATGATTAGTCTTGAATCCATCATGAGTTTAAGGTTTCTCATGGAGATTAGAGAGTATACACTTTTTGAATCCATGAGTTAGGTAGATTTAAGGTGATTAAGTGTAGACTAAGTGTTTACTTGCTAGTAGAGTGTGTTTAATGCTATTCTAGACTTGATCACTCTAGAATTGAACCTTAGTTATTTCCTGCTCACAAGGTGTATGTTAAAATGACTGAACCAACTTTGCTTAGCTCTAAGACTTTTTAGCCAATGACCATTTGTATCTAAGAAGTTTAGATAGTTATTAAACATATTCTTAATGTTTTCTTGAATTAATTAAGCCAATGACCATTTGTGTTTGATTAGGTTAAGCAAATGAACATTTGTCTAGACCTAAAACTTGTTTAGTTAAGTTGTTTAGACTTATGGATGCATTTTGATTAATCTTAATTGCTTTAGATCAATTGCCTTAATCCCATGGGTTCTACCTTATCATTTGATTGAAAGTTATTCTTGCATTTATTTCTTGATTGGATTTGAAATCACCTTTGTTTATATTTTTAGGATCTTATCTTGTTACAAATCATCAATCTTCTTGTTTGCTTTGATTAAGAAAGCTTGTGTATTCTTAGTGTATAACTCTCTAGTTCTCTGTGGGTTCGACAACCTTTTATACTACAATGATTTGATCATGGACCCTTGAAAAGTCTTGTATCATCCTGTCCCGAAATTATCTTTGTCCTTCCATGATCCATCCGTGAAACACCACCTTCCCGGAATCTGAGGTAAAGCTGGCGACGTTAGTGTTTTTGTATGGGGTATACAATGTGAGAGCGCAGTTTGTGCCTCCTTCCAAATTGTTGCTTCTGTTTCTGCCAGCTTAATGGTATCTCTCGGGCCAGTATCAATGTTTCTAAAAACCATGTTATTCCTAATTTTCCAAATGTACCATAAAACCCAAGCAAATTGGTGATCTTCCATGGGTGGATTGATTCTCCAAAATAGATGATCCATATTTGTAAAAAATGACTGGGTAGGGAAAATAAGAGGATTTGATGGAACCTTTGAAAGAGCCCAAACTTAGACAGCCGGTGGGCATTCAAAAAAACATGATTGATTGATTTCTCTTAATTCTCCACATCTTGTGCATTGAATATCTCCTTGCATATACCCCTTGCTCGTAAACTCTTCTGAACCGAGAGATAACTTGAAATAATTTGCGATAGAAAATGCTTGATCTTCGGCGAACATCTTATTTTCCACGAATGTGCCTTGAGGGGGTTAATATATGAGCCTAATGTCATTGTCGGCTGCTGAATGTCGGGTAAACCTTTTTGACCTGGTAACCAGATTTCACCATATATTTCCATTTTTAGTAAAGTGCCATCCATCCTTGTCTGGTCCCTGGAAATGACTTGAAGAAATACTTTCTATAATTTTTGCATATTCTGGATCCACCAGGTCTCGAATCATCTGAGAGTTCCAAGTTTGTGTTGTTGAGTTGATGAGTGCATCCACTGTGAGATCTCTGAAGAATTTGTTGAAAATTGTTTGCTGGTCTCGGGCGAGTGGTTGGGAACTAGGGGTCCTTCCATACAGAGATGGAAGAGTCTGATTCCATTCTTTTGATTAGTCATTTTCTAACCAGAGATCTAGCAGAGATCATACTTCGCCATCCATATGATGGTGAATTGACCCTATCGATTCCAGGGGTTATGCGTTCTTAAAATACCGTCCTTTAAAAACACGAGTAAACAAAGTCCCCGGTTTCACAATCAGTCGCCAACACTGTTTTCCCAAGATAGCTGTATTAAATCCACTAGATCTTTAAACCCCAAGCCACCTTCATCCTTAGAAATACATAATGTGTCCCATGACTTCCAATGCATAATTTAAGTAGTTCTTCCATAATTCCACCTGAATTGTGCAGTGACACTCGTCAACTTCTTCGTCACTGTCTTTGGTGATAGCAAAACATTATGTGGTTTGGCAAGACCATGATTACAGGCTTAATGATCACCTCTTTCCTCCCTTCGAAAAAGGTTAAATGTCCATCCAGCATAAATTTTAGATAAATCTTTTGTCGATAGGTGTAAATATTTAATTATTGATTGGGAATAATTTTCAACATATATTCCTACCCTCTTTTGTAGTCCTGATAATCTTTTAAAAATTCACACACAGATTGAAAATTTGAAAATAATTAAATTATTTTTTTTTTATTAATTCAGAGCATTATACAATTTTGATGTATGAAATTGCAAAAATTAAAAAACAATTAACCAAAATATAAAAACTCAGATTTGTTTTGATATTCATAAATTTGGTTGCAGAGATTTGATATAATTATGTAAGAATTATTTAATAATAATGTATAATTTTTATTTCTGTAAGAGTTAGTTTTCTTAATAAAAACACTTATACGGTATTCAAAAGTATTTCCCTTTTTTAGTTTAGTAAAAGTTTCTTTTTATCATTGATCTATTTATAAATTTAACTAAAAAGAAACTTACATTATAAATCTAACTGAAATTTTAAGAAAAAGAAAAGGAAATAAGTTTTTTTTTCACATATTTTTAATTACATTAATATATTTATTTCATTAAGGATATCTCTGTAATTAAAAGTCACAAGAATTATTGTGAGCACGATAAATAGGAAATAAACTTCTCGAATAATATTATAAAGATCACCTTTGCTATCTAAAACTAAAAAATCACTTATAAGAAACAAGCTACAATAGAACTTCTATAAATTAATACTCTAAAATTAATAATCTCTATAAATTCTCGATCCCAATTTGGACCAATTCAAAAATTTGACACAAATCGATAAAATAATAAAATAATATTTTTTACAAAATTCTATGTAAATATATGGTCCTATTAAAATTATAAATTAATATTTTATATGTATACATATTTTATATAAGTAAGAACCTTTCATTATATTGTTTGTTTTATATTTATAATATAGTTATCTTTATATTCTCCTAACACTTAATATTTTTTTGATGAGATATAGTAATATTTTATCTAAAAGCACGTTTAAATTCGGTTAATATATATTATATACACCAAATATTATAATTAAACTAATATAGATGTCAAATTTCAAAATATAATAATAAATATCTATACACTAAAATCAAATATTTTTTTCTCTTAGAATATATATATCTTAAAATAAGAAATCTAAACAAAATTTATTTTGTAAATTAGTATTTCTATAAATTAATAAAATTTTGAAATCCCAATATTATTAATTTATAAAGGTTCTAGTGTAGTCAAATTCTAAAAAAAAAGATAGCGAGAGGGTTAATTTGTGCAAGGCTTTCAAGCCAAGGCTCGTTCCTTTGGATCCTACCGTAAGTCTTGTGACTTACGATCAAGCAACATAACAGTGACCGTAAAACAAAATAACACAAGAACTCGGTGGCAGCTAGTTTAACTCAACAACTAATTTCTCTCAATGTCCCCAAGCTATCCCCGTGATGTCCCCCTGGTGTTCCTGTCCCCAAAATGTTTCCAGTAGCTAAATAGACGTCTCCGTGCTCATAGACAAGGACAAAGGCTTAAGCATAACTCAATTATTTTTTCATCTGAGACACGAAAAAGATAAGGTAGTTGAAACAACTAAATATCAACTCTATCGTTAAGCAACGAAGCAGATTCAAGACAAATCATCACACGTAAGAACCACCACACCGGGACTCCGTAGCACTGAATGCCAAATTAATAATAAGCCTTTAAGCAAAAAAAAAAAAAATAATAATAAGCAGATAAAGAAACATTGTATTTTTAATAACTAAAAAATGAAAAAATAATATCAACTTAAACAAATATATTTAGGGACAATTGCAAAAATACCACTTTTGTGATACCACAATTCAACTTTACCACCATTCAAGGGACATTTTCATAAATACCTAGAACAATCATCAATAAATGACACAGTTACCCCAACCAGATCTATCCTCTCGCTCTTACCCTTCCCACATCTCCTCCATCACCATTGTCGCCTGCTCCGGCCACGCCGCTGCTTCCGGTGGTTCCGACGACACAATTCACCGCTACTTACCTGAAATCAAGATCTTTCTTCGACTCATTCCACTTCCAATTCAATCGCTCAACCGTCCCTCTCCGGGGAAACTTACCTAATAATCGCCCGAGGGTTTTAGTCAGCCACGATATGAAAGGAGGGTACGTTGATGACAAGACGCCGGATATGCGATTTGGCATTGGTATTTGATGGATGTGTTCGTTTACCTCTCTCATTCTCTGGTGACTATTCCTCTTCCTTGCTGGACCAATACAGCTCATAGGCACGGTGTTAAGGTAAATAATTAAGCAAGTGTAAAGTTCAGATTTTTAGTGTCTGTGTAGAGAGATATGAATTGGAAATGCAAAAGGTGCTCTTGTCTACGAAGCGAGGACCGTGATTCGGAATCATGACTCGCGTTTGGTTCAGAGGAGGGTCTGGAGAGAACAGAGGCCTAGTAGTAGTGATGACATGGAGAATAATGAAGTAGTTACGGTGGTTAGAGCAGAGGAGGAGGTGTTTGTACCGTTGATTGAAAGTAGAGCTGAGGAGAGTTCAGAGACTTGTCTTGAAGGGATTGGGTTGGGGTCATCGGGTGCTATTAAGTTGGGGACTTTCATTACTGAATGGGATGAAGGTAAAGCTACTTGCAAAGAGATGCCTGCTACTAAGGAGTCTGCTCAGATGTATGCTGAGCGTTTGGCAGAGCTTTCTACTTCTCTAGGTTTTGATGGATGGTTGGTGAGTTTTGTGATTATATGGTTGATGATTGTATCTGAAAATGGATTTCGTTTAATGTAAGCTGTTACGTGCAAATAAATACAAAGAATGAAATAAATGAAAAACAGGTTCCTAATTTGAAGGAGTTCATAAGCCATCTAACAAAAGTCTTGCATTTATCTACGCCTGGGGATTTGGTTATATGGTGAGTTGTTGTTTACAAAGTTCTTTGTTTTGGTATACCATTTTGAATCTGGTCACTTTTTTTTTTTAATTTGCAGGTACGACAGTGTCACTGCTTGTGGCGATCTTGAATGGCATGATCAGTTGAATGAGGAAGTTATTAAATTTCGAAAAACTCTCATGTTATGTGTCAAAGACTAGAGAAGCGAGAGCCAAGCTTGTAAGTATTGAAGAGAAGCTTTCTGAGGAAGTCCAGAGGCTACAGGAGGAGGTTTCCAGTACCCTAGAGTCACTAAAGGTTTGTTTCTACTTTCTCTTCTTCTCCATTCTTCGCTGCAACATAATAGTAGATATAAATCTTGTTCCATTCTATGCACAAGGAAGTATATCTATAATTACTTATCCACAAAGTGCATATTATGGAAAAGTCTGGTGCTACATGTTTTAACAGGTCATTTATGCTCTGAAAAAATGCTTAATGACTGTAAAAAAATATGGTATTGAATCTTGTAAATGTCATTTTGCAACTTCATTGTACAGTTTTAGTTATTTGCCATTAGTATTTTGTATAAGGCCTTATTGATCTCGTCTCTTTTCTTACAGGAGCAATCTTCTAGAAAATCGATCATCCAACAGAACATTACATCATTCATGGATAAAATTATGTTCATAGAGAAAAGGATGCCGGAGCTTGAAGCAGAGAAGAAAGTGGCTGCCTCAACGAGGAATTTCAAAGAAGCTGGAAGAATCAGCAGAACTTAAGTCCTTAAATCTAGAAAAGGATAAGATACAGATCGAAACAGGACAAGCTAATGCTGAGCTCGAGAAAGCAGAGCAGGAGATTGAAGAAACAATCGAGAGGCTACAAGAGTTAGAGAGGTTGATTTTGTCGAAAGAAAAAGAATTGTCTGTCAGTAGATTCCAGAGGTTGTGGATTGACAGTGGCACTGCAAAAGCAAAGAGATCAGCTGAAAGATCTGGAAGAAGCTAATCTTCTACTTGAGGAAGCACAGGAAGCAGAGTCCGAAGCAGAGAAGCTTAAACTCACATGCGGTCTCAAAGAAGAAGACGAAGAAAAAGAAGAGGCTAAAGAATGTTTTGTCTCGATGGAACTTATAGCTACCTTTCGTCTGAAGAAACTACAAGAACTCGCAGAATCTGTTCCGTCGTAACTCTGAAGCTGCTTCAGGTTCAAACGTTGGGACTAAACGTGTACAGAGATGATCAAGGAAAGGATTTAAAAAGGCGTTGTTGATGAGTCCACAACGTTTAAGCTGATGTACGTTAGTACACATCAACATGTATGGTTTTGTTTTTTGGATCCGTGTTTGATTGATTTGTTAATGAAAGAAGAGAGTGGAAGCTTGTTCAAGCAATACACTTGTAAGTTGCGTCCAAACACTTTGAATACATTTTTTTGTACAAGAACCGAACTCATGCTTCTGTTTGAACATTGGTTCAGATTTAAAGAAAATCATTGTCAACTATCTATGGTGGACTAGAATACACACAAAAACTACTTTACTATATATAATGTAATCATCAGTTGTGATGTAAAAATAATAGAGACATGTATCTCTTTTATTCACTATCTTAAGCATATGCACGAGGAGGAATGCTCGAGCAAAGAATGTAGGAACAAGTTATGGAGATAAAGAGACTAGGCTATTGTAGACTGTTTATCATCTTCAAGGTGTAACGCTCTAAGTAGTTTTAACTATTTATAAGGGATTATAAATTATTTAGAAACCCTTATAAGTCATTGATTAAGGTTTACGAATCCTTTATAAGAGTTTATAAATCATTTGTAATGATTTATAAACCATTTATAAGTGATTATAAACTATTTATAAAGATTTATATATCATTTTTACAGAATTTATATATCTGTTATAAGAGTTTATAAATCATTTACAAGAGTGTATATATCATTTATAAAAATTTATATATCATTTATAGAAGTTTATAAATGTTTTATTAACATTTATAAATCATTCAAAAACTATGTATTCAATCTAGTAACACGCGAAAGTTTAGATCTTCAAAGAATTATATGTGTGTCTTTTGTGATTGAAAATACTTTACATTTTGATGTAAGGAAGTATCTCAAACCAAACACAACAATACCAATAGCCATAACAAGCAATTTTATTCTATCTCGAGATAAAAAAAAACCCGATCTAGCTCTAATCAAAACCAGAACTGAACTCAATGAAAACATAAGCAAGAACCATTTATAAATTATTATTATTAGTTTCTAAATCATTTATTATGGTTTAGTGGTCATTTATAAATATTTATAAAATCATTTATAAATTATTTTTAGTTTTTTATAAGGCTTTATAAATTATAAAAATTATTTTTAAAGTCTTTGTAAGTGTACATTAAGTTTCATAAAGGTTCTATAAGGGTTTGTTAAATTCTTATAAGGTTTATGAAACCATTTGTAAGAGTTAATCTATGAAAGTTTATAAATCATATAATAATGATTTAATAATGAATAAAAAATAAATTTATAAAGATTTATAAAAAACTTCTAAACCCTTAAATTAGTTTATAAGCCTTTATAAATTAGTTTATAAACTCTACTAAATTAACTTATAAACCTTTATGAATCATTTTATAAGCTTTTTATACATTAACTTAGTAACCTTATTAAATTAGTTTATAAACCTTTGCAAATCAGTTTCCAAACCTTATATAATGATTTTATAAACCCTTGTAAATTAGTTATAAGTTATTATAAATTAGTTTATACGCCTTTCTAAATTAGTTTATAATCAATATATAAGTCATTTATAATCATAGTTCAATAATTAGTTTGTAAACCTTTTTAATGTCATAGAATGATATGTCTAATTTTCCATAATCCTTCTAACTATTACGAATGACGTGTGCATCATACAAGAAAATAAAGAAACATTGTAAGAGTTTGTAAAATAATTGTTGGCTGTTGTTTATTCCCTCCGAGACTTATAACCTACTCTTTCTGATTTTAATATTAGTCTTGAGACTTGCTTGCTTAATCTTGTTAATAGCTTTATCTATCAGAGCTAAGAAATCTATTTACAATTGGTTATCAAAACAGTTTATAAGGATTTCTAAATATATTATTAAAGTATAATTCATTTATAAGAGTTTATAAAACAAGTCTATAAGGATTATAAATAATTTATAAATGTTTATAAATCACTTATGACAATTTAGAAATCATTTATAAACTTTTATCAATAGTTTATATATATTCATATAAAATGATTTATAAACCTTTATAAAATAACTTATAAATGATTATAAGAGTTTACAAAGAGTGATGAATCTTAATAAAAAATTTACAACGAAAATTTATAAGAGTTTATAAGAGTGATGAATCTTTAATAAATGATTTACAAAGGTTTATGGACTATTTTCAGAATTTTATAAACCTTTTTACAAATCATTTAAGAATTAACTTAATCGTTTTAAGGGTTAATAAATCATTTATATGGATTAAAAAGCATATTAAAACATTACTGATCATAACTCCCCTTTATTTATAAGAGTTCATAAATCAATTCATATGAGATTATACAAAAATTTATAAGGGTTTATAAATCAATTTATAAGAGTTTATAAATCAATTTGTAAGAATAACATTCAATTTTCAGGAGAGCTTCTCTATTGTATTATTAGAGTTATATAGGTTTAGAAATACCCTAAAAGAGTCTATAACCATTTAAAAAGACTTATAAAATAATTTATAATGGTTTGTATTTTGTAAGGGTTATAAGGGTATGTAAATAACTTATAAGAGTTTATAAAAATAATTTATAAAGTTTATACACCATTATAAAATGTTATAAAACCAATTTATAAGGGTAAGTGCAACAAAAAAAAGCTTCTGTTCAAATTTTATTCTCTCTCTGAGTGATACCTTTCGTTATTCTGTTTCTAAAACTTGACTTTGTTATCATACTTCAATCTCTTGATTTAGACTCATTGACTTCCATTAAATCCTTTGAGGCTGACCTTGTTTTTGTTAGGAAATTCACCACACATAACAACTGGCTCCTCTCAACTTTTCCTAAACGAGACTTGAAACGGTTGAATGATTCTGATCCAATAACTTTACTAAGCTACGCGTCTCTGCAGTTCCTTGTGTAGATGATATTACTATTCCTCCAGGAGGTACAAAAGCTTATAAATTCTAATCCAATAGCAAACTCTTCACTAGAAATCCTCATGGCCATATTGCTCTTTTCAATGTCGCCTTGGAATTATTTCATCTCTAATCAAGGCTGATGAAGTCTCTTTTTTTTTCTCCCTGCAATCCATTCTGTGTGCTTCTCTTCCAACTGATTAAACAGGAACAGACCCAGCAGTGAATACTATTTAAAAAATATGTGCTTCTCTTGCAATACTATTTAAAAAATCAAATGCATCATGAATACATATAATTTATAAATCATTTATATATGTTTATAAACCATTATAAATCATTTTATAAACCCTTATAAATAAGTTATAAGTTTTTATAAAATTGTTTTTAAACCTTACAGAATTGGTTTATAATCATGGTTTAAGTAATTTATAAACCTTTATAAATCAGTTTATAATTTCTTATAAATAAAAAGCCTATTTAGTAAAATTAATAAATTAACTTATACACCCTATAATTAGTTTTTAAACCTTTTTAAATCAGTTTATAAACTCTTATGAATCAAACTTATAGACTATTATAAATAATACATTTCATAAATTAACAAATAAACCTTAATAAATTAGTTTATAAACCTTTATAAATCAGATTAAAACTCTTATAATCACATTATAAACCTTTGTAAATCATTTTATGTCTTTATAAACACTTATAAGTCATTTATAAACTCATATGTATCAAATTCAAATTATAAACATTACAAATAACAGACTCAAAATAATTAGAGAACTTCCAACCATCACTAGAGGAGACCAGAAACTAGTACAGACCATCACCATCTGATTATTTCTTGCATTGTAAACGTTTGAGGTGAGAATACATCTTAAGCTCTTCACTGATCATAGGAGTGGACAAAGAGCTTTCAGCATTGGTGGTTGTTGCTGTTGTAGAAGAAGAAGAAACATGGCCAGCTGGTTCTTCATTTGATTTCACAGTTGTTGCTAACTTATTTCCCACTGTTAAAATCAATTAATGAATTTTATAAACCGTTTATAAGGGTTTATAAATTATTTGTAAGAGTCTATAAACATTTATAAAGGCTTATACAATAATTTTTTAAAGTATGGAAACTATTTATAAATATTTATTCAAAAAAATATAAAAGTTTATAAATAATTTAAAAGGGGTATGCATATAATTTATAGTTTATATATATTCCTATAAATGATTTATAAACCCTTATAAAATCACCTTTACCAATAGTTTATTTATATTCCTAGAAATGATTTTATAAACCCTTATAAAATCACTTATAAGTTTATACCAAAAATTTATAAGGTTTTATAAAAATTTGTAAAAATTTATAAAGGTAATTGCTTTATAAAGTCTCAAAAATCATTGTGGAGGTATGTGGAGCTAATGATGCCATTAAAATTGATCTGTGGGGTACCTCTTTCCCTATCTAAAATCATATTCCTACAAAATCTATATTCTCACAATTCATCATAAACTTACTCTTGTTACTTATTACAAATGTGTGATTTGAGTCGAAGTCTTACATTCACTACAGTGATTAAACAGCTTCCAAAGTGCTAAATTTGCTAACCTATTAAAGTTTTACCGGTCCCTGGAGGACCATACAAGAGCACTCCCTTTGGTGGACGAACACCAAGCTTCTCGAAAAGCTCCATGTGCGTCATGGGGAGCACAATAGCCTCTACAAGCTCTTGAATCTTTTTCAGAAAATAAACTCAATCAGATTCAACAAAACAAGCAAATTCAATAAGCTAAAACAGAATGGGATAAAACTAAATATGCTTCCGTAGCATTTATAATATTTTATAAATCATTTAAAGGTTAACTAAATCATTTATCAGGGTTAATAAAATCATTTGTATGGATTAAAACTCATATTAAAACATCACTCATAAGTCCCCTTTATTTATAAGAGTTTATAAATTAATTTATAAGAGTACAAAAAAAATTATAAGGATATATAAATTAATTTATAAGAGTGAATGGTTACACAATCTTAACACCACCAGTAAACCCACAAATAAAGCTCCAATCTTTTTTTCTCCGATCTTTTTTTTTCCTAACCAATCGAGAATCAATTGCTCCTGATCTACTCAACTACAGTAAACCATAGAGTTCTTTCTCTTCAAAAAAAAAAAAAGAATAATTCTTATACAAGGCTACTGGTTAAACTGAGACTCCTTCCTTCCTGTAGACACAACACAATTAAGAATCAATCAGATACAAAAAAAAAAACAAAAGAAAATATGTGGTCTTTGAAATGAACACAGTGAGAAAGAACAGATCTTTTGGTGAGAGAAAAATGCAATTTACAAAGAATTTGTCAAAATTTTAATACAAGATTTCCATCTCATCTGAATAATCAATCAACCATAGAAAGAAGAAGAAGGAAACCAAACACGGACCTGTCAGTTATCTTTGAAAGTCTATTAAGATGTCACCAGTATGAAAATGAAGAAATCACGGCTGCAGAGTTTATTAGTCAGTTTCGCACCAGCAAGGTCTGGCACAAGGTACCTTGTAGTTATCTGGTGCAGTCATTGTTCGTGGTTATAACTCTTAATGAGCCACTACATGGATTAAGAGACCAAAGTATTTGAGTTAGGAGACAACCAATGTTATATGTTATGTTTAGCTTAGGTTCTTAAGTATCTTGGTCCGTTGTATATATCAACCGAGTTTGTTATGTCGTTTTCAACTGATGTAAGAACAGTACAGAATGCAACTCCAGGTTCGTTGGTTCTCTGTAATAGAAAAGATCACAGCGAGTGAGAATCACTCAGTGTATGAAGCTTTAAATGTGTTAATACCTTACAGATAAGCTCTCCTTGGAACCCTCCCGCAACTATCAAATCGTCTTTAACCGCCATGGTGCTTATTTGGACTCTTGATATAGACTGCGACAACAATCCTTGCTGCTTCTGAAGATTAAAGTACCAAATTCGTTAAGTTAGTTTCAAGTCCTAGGTTTATGAAGAAGTGATATTAGAAGTAAAGTTGCTTACCATCGTAGGAACAGAAGTTATGGAGTCAACTGTGCTGGCTCTAGAATCATCTGATGAAGAAGCTGGAAAAGCTGTTAGAGAACTGATGCAACGGAGCACATCTTCTTCCTCTGTTTCTTCTGATGAGATCAAAGATTTCCATTATGCAGCATTGAAGCTCCAGCTTTCAACACCTGAAGCCATTGTGATTGAGAGAAATCCCTGAAGTCACTGCTCTCAAAACTAGGCGAGTGTGAGGTGAACAAGAGACAGCCTAGAATCATTTATCCTTGTATAATACACCGGTTAAACTGCAGCTGAGCCAAACTTGGCACTGGACTGGAAACCCCTCAAAATGCAGTCTTTCCAGTAAACAAAAGATAAACTAAGAAACCCTAACAGCTTCCCGCATCCACTGCACACTAGTGGCCAGTGAAGCTCAACAAAAGCTTCTGTCTTTCCCCCATAACATTGCATTGCAGCATAAACCAAAACAGAAAAAACACAAAAGCAGGGGATCATGAAACCAACCAACCAACCAAAATGAAAAACGTAAGGTAAAGTTTTTGTGTTGTTTGTTATTCATGCAAGGCTTTCAAGACTTACTCCTGATTTTAACTGGCTAACCTTATCAAGTTTTCCCTGAGCACCAAGTCTCCTCAACCTTGAACCAAGGACCCTTTTAAATTGTTCTGGCACTTCATACATTTTTTGCTATACACAAACCAGGCCATTATCGTTCTTGGGCATTGCATTGCTAGTAACCAAGATGGTTTCACCGACAAATCCACCATCTTTAAAAAGCTCTTTGTCCATGATTCTAAACTTGATATGAGTCAGCTTCTTCCATTGAGACATTGGGAAATCGAACACAAACTTTTGGTTCCACAATGCGTTGTCATTATGACCTGCTTTTACCATGAATATCATTTAAAATACCTTTGGTTTAGAAGAATAACAAAATTCAGTCAATAACAAAACTTGAACCTTTTGACACTTTGCTTCGGTACTCCTTTGTCCCACATTGTAACAACACATAATACACAGGCCTTCCTGCAAACAAGCCACAATCAAGACACACCATCTTCATTATCCAAGAATATATCTCAAACGGGTCCTTGAAGAACTTTCTCTCAGGTGCTTCAATCTGTTAACACAAACACAGATCATGGCAGAGATAAGATCTGAAGAGAACCTGATGAGCATCATTGATGGGAGTATGAATAGTACTGTTGGCAAAGATTGGAAATTCAATAGAGGTGAACTTCCATGTGTTACAGCGAGATACAAAGTACCACTGCCGAAGAGAGATCGTCTCGTTCGTGCTTCGCCGGAGAACTCATCAGCATCGTCAGATTTCACCGGACAACTCGTCATCATCTTCAAAGCTCACCGGAAAACTCATCAATCGTAGAATCTTGTCAATCGTTAGATTTCGTGGGGGGGGGGAAGAAAAGACAGTTTTAGGTTTTATTAGCTAAGGGTATAATTGATAATTGTATTTTACTTATTAAAATTTTGATGGTAAAGTTGGTTAATGCATAAATGAAAAATGGTATTAGGAAAGTGGTATTTATTACAATTTCCCATATATTTATATAAATTGATATAATATATCTTAACCAAAAGAAAAAAATTGAAAATATATAAGATTATTAATTTAAATATATATATATGTATATATACCTTTTTAAATATAATTTAAAATAAATAAAAATGTTTAAACAAATTTAAATATTAGTATGAAAATCTAAGAATACTAACATAATTTAAATTTAAAAATATTATTGCTGCCCATGGAGTGGAAAAATATATAGTTACATGTACTTAATTTAGTGACCTCACACCTTTCCTTTGCAAGATCGACGAACATATTCACCATCATATAGATGGCGTAGTATCATGGCAGCGAAATCTCTATTCATATTGGATATACGTAAAACAATTGGTATGGGTCGAGATACGAAGGTTTGGAGTGAGTCTTGGGTTCCAGACTTAGTGGCTTGACCATCTAGACCTGACCGATCACATTGTTTACAAACTACCTCAACTTTTTGTTAAGTTCTTTATAAGAATGATACCAAAGAGTGGAACATACAACTTTTACGGGAATTCTTTCACCCAGATGATATCCCTTTGATACTAGGGATAAAATTTTGTCGCTCTCTTATTATGGATGGATATGTTTGGAACCACACAAAATCGGGAGTGTATACAGTTAAAACCGATTATGACCTACTCCAATCGACCAAACTGAGTCTTACACGGGAAAGTGTTCAAGAACCGATTATCACGAGCCTTCAGAGCCATGTGGGGAAGATAAAAGCTCCAAATAAGATGAATCATTTCTTGTAGCAGGCTATCTTAGGCTATGTGGCGACAACAAAGAGGCTCATTTATAGATACCTGTGAAAAGATAGGAGGTGTACTAGAAGTGTTCGTCCAGTGGAGTCTATTAATCATCTTCTTTTTGAATGCCCCCCAACCCTGCACGTTTGCGCTTTACTGGAAAATCCGTCCCTTCCGAGTTACTTTCCGAGTACATCTATTTACCAAAACATGAAATTTCTGTTTTGGGAGAGAAAAGAGTTGGCTCCTCTGAGACCACAATTCGACACCTTCCCATGGATCTGTTGGTATATTTGGAAGGCGATGAATAACAAACTCTTTAATAGGAAAGTTGTATCCTCTATTGATAACCTTCAACACGCGTCTGTTGAGGCAGAATGTTGGAGGAAGGCTGATGAAAAGGAGGTAGCAAACGAGGATCAAGACGACTCTCCTACTACAGAGGTTGAGACATTAGCCCTTGGATACTCTGAATTCCTACTTGACAAATTGATACGTCATTGATCGATAATTACAGTGTTAGTGGCTTAGGGTGGAGTCTTAAAGATCAAATGGGTTCTGAATATTTTGGATTATGGGCATGTAGCAGGAGCCTCTCAGCTTTGCATGTTGAAATTGAAGGTTTACTTTGGGTAACATCATGTATGACAGACATGAGAATAACTTCGAGACGGTTTGAGACGAACTATTCGGACCTAGTAGACATAACTACAAACCTGGTGTATTGGCCAATTTTGCGACAGAGATCGAAATGCTCCGGAAATTACGAAGGATTTCGAGGATGTGTGTCTGTCTCATATTTCTCGGAGTAGGAATGGTCGAGCGAACGTATTAACAAAAGAAACAAGAACTAAAAGATATATTTTTTTCCCATATAAATTAGATCCAATCAGATGGAGGTGCTCTTCATAGAATCGATTTGTCTGATTATCACTTGATGTAGTTTATATGGACATAGACAAAAACAAAAAATTTAGTGACCTCGCCTAATTTCATGAAAAAGAAACAGATTACAAATGGGCTTTTAATATTAATGGGCCGACAGCTTTTATCATTTGGGTAGGTATCTGATTTGTTATAATCAACTCCAAGGGCGGGAAAGACGGCGAAAGAGAGAGAGAGGGAGAGAAGATGGACTCGGAGAAAGCGGTGGTGGACGAGCTGCCGCTAGCTATCGTGCGCCGGGTGGTGAAAGATAAGCTTTCGGAGTGTTCGCCGGATTATGACGTCAGCATTCACAAGGAAGCGCTGCTTGCCTTCTCCGAGAGTGCCCGGATCTTCATCCACTACCTCTCCGCCACGTACGCCTCAAAACCCTAACTTTCCGAACTTCTTTTTATTACAATATATGGAAATCAAATTCACCTTCGAATTCATTTGAACTGTTGGGTTATGCATATTATTGTAATGTTGAATTTTGATCTGACATAAAAGGGGAAGTCTTTGGAATTGATTAGAATGTCTCTCAATTGTTTTGTTTTTTTTGTTTAAAATTACTTTGTTGAATTGATAGGGCAAATGATATATGCAAAGACTCAAGAAGACAGACGATGAAAGCTGAGGATGTGTTTAAGGCTTTAGAAGACATGGATTTTTCGGAATTTTTGGAGCCGCTTAAAGCTTCTCTTGATGGTTAGTTTATTTTTTTCTGATGAAGATTTTTACTGTATCCCTATTTGAGGTTGTCTGATAAGAAGCATGCTTAAGTTTGTATTAATCTCTTTTCAGAGGGTATGAGCGTACCCATTGTTTTGTAAGCTAGTTAACCTTATTGATTCTCAGATTTTAAGAAGAAGAACGCTGGGAAAAAGGCTGCTAGTGGTAGTGGAGCAGCAGTTTCCAAGCCTAAAGAGACGAAAAAGAGGAAAAATGAAGAAGCATCAACTCAAAAGGGGGTGAGGAAAAGCAAGAGAGATGAGGGAGATTTGAAGAATGGTGAGGATGATGAGAATGACAACACAAAAGAGAATGAGGATGATTATACCGAAGAGAATGGAGATAATGAGGAGGAGGAGGAGGAGGATGTTAACGGAAATGAGGAAAACATCATTGAAGAGAATGAGAATGAGGGCAATAGCATGGAAGAAGCTGGGAGTGGGAGTGGTGAAGATGATGAGAACGAAGGTAGTGGCGAAGACGTAGAGGGTGATGACGAAGATGAGTGAACTCTAGAGGCCTTTTCATTTTCTTTTCTGCAAAGAACATGTTTTCAGGTTAATGTTTTCTCATTATAATGCTAAAATCGATTAGCTTGTAAGCTTGAGTAACACTGTTGTTGTTGGCATGACCATGTCGTAGACTCGTATAATGTTTGCTCTTTGACTCTAGTTTTACCAGATGTAAGTGAAAAGTTACAAAAATGAAGTTTTTAGTCTACGCAAAAGTTACAACAAAAAGAGCAAAACTCAACGTCTGACCCAATTGAAATTGCCTTTTGATCATGCGTATAACAAAAGCTAAACAGGTCGTCACTTGTTGAGTTTACTTCATGTATTCAGCAACACTCTGCGAAATATCGTCAAGGAAAGAAACAAAACCCCTGGCACTAGCAAAACCTGCACCGTCCACGTCTTGTTCTTCTATAAGATAGTTCTCAAAGGCAGTAGCATCGTCTTGTCCTCCTCTGATAAACATCAGTTTCGGTGTGATGCTCCTTCCTTGCTTCACCTCATTAATGGTCTTCCTCAATAAGCCTGTAATAACAAGTTTCAAAATAAACGTAAGCTAACCAAACCTTAAAAGGTGATTGAATTGGATTTAGCAAACTTACAGTCTTGTGGTGGAGGGAAAGGAAGTGACGAGTCAGCTGTTGATGAGTAGAAGACTATCAAAGTGGTATATGCATCTAAGAAAAATATCGGACTACCACTTGTCATTAATGCTGCACGGCTCAATGAATGACGCGGATACGCCAGTTTATCGGGTGTTGAATATGACATTAACGATGGGTATATCCCACAATGTAGAGAACTCGGCTCCAACACACTGCAAATCAAAAAGAAAGCATAAACTGGCATTTGTAACGTTGAATTTAGATACTTATAGTTCATAGTGGAGGTTACCTGAAAAGGCATTGCAAGTAGATTCTGTAATCAGGATGAACACCTTCTTCATGAAACCGGAGGAGAGGGTTACGGAGTAAGGCAAAGACTAAGCGAGGCAAAGGCTCAAGCTGGGGACACTGTGAAAACGTGATGTCTATCTGAGAACTCATTGACTTGTTTCCGTTCTTGTATTGGACGAGGTTAAAGGCATCGTTGTATTGTGCAGTTAGGATTACTAGCCAATCATGAAGCAACGCCCTCCCTTCTCGGACTCCATCCTCTAGAGAGACTAAAATTACCTGCAGAAACAAATAGCTACTATCTATAAATATACATAAATAATCAGCAGGTTGATGATAATGGGTTAACAACGTGAAATGACGTTTTACCTTGTGAACGAGTAATGAGAGAACAACTTCATGATCCACACTGTCGTAAATTTCGTTTATGTTCTGGGCAGCTGAAAACTGCATGGTTCTGATTCTTATTCGTCTCTGAAGTGTGTGTTTCCCTCTGCGGAACATGAATTAACATCAGAATTTGAACGAAACACTTCAAATTAGGTCATCAACAGGATGGAGAAGTTTGAGATTTACTATCAACTCTAGGCTTTAGGATGGACTATGTACAAGGTATGAGATTCATTTCAAGAATAAAAAAACAAGATATGATTGTTTCTAATGTTGACAAATTTAATAAATAAGCTGAAAGGTTGCTACTGGCGTACACTGTTTGATCAATAGTTAGAAGATATGGATTTAATCATACCTACTTGAAGATGGCAGTTCAGAGTTTGACAGTCCCTCGGGAGGTACAACAACTGTGTACTGGAATGCAATTTGGACCACGGGTGGGTATCCTGAATGCCTGGAAAAGGTAAAGTTCATCTAAAATGCTCAACTTTTTATTCTTCTTGGATTCAGCAATTTAGTAAGAATAATAATAATATTTTACTGCAGGTCGGGAAAAGGATGATAATCCCTATCTACAGATATATTGATAGTCAAAATAAAAGTGTAAAACCAATGACCAGCAGCTTTACAAACTCTAAAGTATGTATGAAAGCAATTATTGTCACGTTTACCTGGAAAATCCAGTATTATCAGTAAAATCAAAGTCATAGGCATATGTTGCATATGAATCACAGCATATGATATGTTGAAGGTTCTCGTATTGTGGATCAGGAAAGAAGTGACCAAACTGCAAGTAACGCTATACTGTTAGCTGAAGCAAAAACGAAATAGAAGCATCATTTGACTTTCATTTCTTACTAAAACCACGTACAGAGTGGAGAGGTTTGAATTCAGTTGAAGTCCTCATTCTTAAGACGCAGTTGAAAGCATACGGCCGGTTAAGCATCCGAAACCTGCAAAAGAACATCTTTCAACTAGTATGGTAACACCTGAAGGAAACAGGACATGCCTACTTTCTATGAAAGTGGAAAAAATTATGCTAACATGTCTTGGGGGAGAGTTGAGTCATCGGTGCTTGAATACAGAAACAACGATCCTCCACTTTCGATGCTAAGGAACTTCAGGGATGCTAAATCTGTGTACTCATTTGTAACTGCAAACACGTCTACGCATACGCCTGACTGGACAGCAATGGTGGCCTATAAAAGAGCCGTCAGTTATATTTATCTTTGGGATAGAAAAGTCTTTTTAAGTACGACTTACCAAGTCTTTGTAGAACGGTGTTTGCTCCGGAAGCAGAGCACGATCAGCATCAACCCTTTTACTTGCGTATTGTTCACCATATCTAGTTGTATCCAGTTGTCCACGTCCATAATCAGGAGGACCGGATAAAAAAGCAAACACCCTAGCTGCACTTATATAAACTCAATAAAACACTACCTACTGCAAAACAAACCTAATGAGGAGAAAATAACTAAACTGCGTTGAATATATAGATTATGGGCATGATATATATATATATATTGACATTACCTAATGCAAATGTATTCCCAAATTCAGATCCTAAATAGTTGAAGAGAGCTTCCATTGCTGTACCGAAGCCTCTACCACCCATCAACACACCATCCATCCCTTGTGCTGCTCCAGATGACCTCTCCCAAGAAGTTATCGGTCTAAGTGTCTCAAGAGCAGCAGCAATACGATCTTTGCAAGTTTCTACCTGCAGGTAAGTGTAGAAAGTAACTTAGTCTCGCTACAGATGTTCCTATTAATGTGGTCCAACAATTACCATGAATGACCAAGTAGGAAACAGGAAAGGAGATGTTTAAAAGCACAATACCGGAGCCAAAAACTGCAACAAAGGCATGGCATCCTCAAGTTCTAGTGGTAACTTGCTCTCCGCATCAGGTGGGATAAATACATTCTTTACAACTGGTACAGGTCCTTGAACATCATAAAGTCCTATTTTGTGGCTGAATGTAGCAAGACCAAACAGAGACCCTGGACTCAGAGCTGCAAAATTGAAAACAGGAGAGGGAAAAAAATTCAATCTAAGAAGACGGTCACACAGAAGAAACAAATCAATCCATGCTTTAAATATATTGTATAAAATGACCTTCCAGAGCAGCTAGCAATGCACTTTTCGTAAGCTCCAAAAACTCCTCAGAAGCTGCAGGTTGAATAAAGCAATAATGAGCAACACAAAAGTGTAAACTTAAACCAGAAGATGGTACTAATACACATATCAGACAGCAGCAACACATGAATAACAATATATGTTACTGAAGAAATAACATGTGAGTAATTCTTTTGTGCACCAAAACGATACGCACAAGAATGAGAGTCTTGGATGCACAGATTAACTTGTTGACGCCAAACCTCCATGAAAAACAACAGAAAACATACAAATTCAAGCTAGAATCACCGAATCCAGAGAGCATTCAATCAATATTGTTGACAAAACACACATTGCTTTCACCAAGGCGTAATTCAATCACAATCTACACCTACCACGATGAGATTAACCAACAGAAGAGAGAAGCAAGAAGGCTTACACGAGAGATCAATCGCAGCTACATAGACAGGCCTAGCTTGCGTCATTTCTTCCTCCGATCCATCCACTAGAAAACAAAGTAATCAAAAACTAGAGACAATTCAAATCACAACCAAAAAAGAGAGAAGCAGAAAACGAACGAGGCAACTCGAGATCAATAAAGGAGGAGCTCATTTCGGGGATAGAGTGAGGATTAGAGTAACGAGCGATCGCATCGGAAGGGAGTCCATTGAGAGTGCCGCAAAGCGAGCAGTTCCAAGCCCACTGGTCGAGCTCGCAGTAAGTGTTGAAGTACGCGTAGCAGTTTTCGCAGCGAGGAAGTAAATGGCCGTTGGATCCGTACGCTGGCGCGATCCCGTTCTCGTCTTTAGCAGCGAAGGGAGTCAGTGTAAGTCCCCACGGCAGTCCTGACGCCTCTAGAGCGTCTGAATCGATCGGGAAACGTGATACCGTTGCTCGGACGGCCATGTTCGATTGGGATTTGGTGGATCGGGGGGAAATGGATGAGCACGGTGTGGGAGAGACTGTGAGCCAATTCGTCTACGGCGCACGTTAGCTTAAGAGTTATGACGTCAACTTGTTTGTACAAATGAAGTGCGGTGAGGTGGAGTTGAACCGGGTCCTCCCACGCTATCCAAAATAAAGCTGTTCAACTGCGATTTGTGTTTGTTTGTCACGCATAGGCATGGGCATTTGGGTCTCATTCGGGTTTCGGTTTCGTCCAGTCGAATCTCGGTTCTTCAGGTTTATCAAAATCAGTCGTTTTTGGATTATTTGAAAGTTAGGTTCGGGATCTGTTCGGGTTCGGGTCGGGGTTAGTAAATCTTTAAGAACTAGTACAACCCATTATGTTTTCAGATTCGGGCCTCAATCGGTTATTTGGTTTAAAATACTTGATTTGTACATACTTTGTAACCAAAACATAAGTAGAAATCGGTTATTCGGATTTAAATTACTTAATGTGTAACTATTTTGTAAGCAATACATAAGTAGAATTGATTCAAAAATAAGAAAAGAACATCAAATTTGATCATTCAAAATCTATATAATAATAGTAGACTTTCTAGGCTCCACAACCCGCCACGTCAGCAGTTTTATGGGTCTCGTAGATATTTTTTAAACACCCATAGTCTTGGTAAGATGATCACAAACAA